CTACTGAGAACTCTCTCGTTCTCAGTAAACACTGTTGCTGACCTTATGTCGGTTACACACTCGTCGTCAGCGACGAGTATGCAGATCTGCTTGACTTTGCCACTACGCAGATCACGCAAGAACCTTTTATGTTCGAGCGTTGGCAACTGAGTGATCTCCGAAGTTAACTTCGGAGGCGCAATCAGATCAAGTGTATAAGCGCCTACACATGATCCGTTATTGACTATGACATTCAATGTCTCTGTCATTTCCTGGGGACTTATTCCCTCAGGCTTCGAAGGACTTATTCCTTCGTCTTCCCGGGGACTTATTCCCGCGGGTTTCGGGGAACTTATTTCCGCCGTATTTGTAATCTTGGGACTTATTCCCTTTACTTCCTCTAGCTGGGGTTGCGCAACCACAGCGAGATCCTCTACGAAAGACTCTCCAGTCGATCTAGGATTATCGTTTCGCTTAACCTGAGCGATCGATTGTTTCTCTTCTAGATGTTCCCCTCTAGGGATACATCTTTGTCCCAGTCCACCCGACTTATTCGAGTGGTGGACCTTCGGCGCAGCCTGTGTTTCCTCACAGCCGCCGGAACTTTGCTCCGAAGTGTAACCGTTTGGTACACTAAGGTTTTGTGCAGTCGTACTAACGACCGTACCACAAGTGAGGCCATCGCACTCACTCGTAGTACATCCACACGCTTGTGGACGCTCCAAAACGTTCATCAGATGGCCATCTGATGAACAAGCGGCAGGCATCGTTACTGTCCGATGTTGCCAGTTTACCCGTGGTTCGTACCTTCTGAGCCACGGTATTCCAAGGATGACATCAAATTTGTCATCCAAATCCAATACGATAAAGTCATCGTCATATTGGGTATCTTCTAGCGTATAGTGAATCTTCACTATACGCTTCATGACGGTTACGGATGCGCCTGTCGCAAGACGTACCGTCATCCTCGTAGGAGGTGTGTCACATTCACTGAATTTAAAGTGACCATCTTCTAGCGATTGGCGTCGCACAAAATTGTTGGACGCCCCACAATCGACTAGAGCTCGAAGGGACAACTTATTCGTCACTTCGAGTTTCAAGGTAATGAGTGAGATCTCATTACCTAGAGCAGCAACGCACAATGTCTGTGTGTTGGGAGCAACCTTCATCAAGAGGCCTACAAATTCTCTTGACGTTGCTGGATCAGTAGGGTGCTCCGCACCTACTGATCCTGTCCGTTTTTTGACGGTCCATCCCGTTGTTGCGTCTTTGCACCAACTGCGGACCCTCGTCCCTGCCCCTTTCTCATGGGTGGACGGTCACTACGCCCAGTGTCGCGAGACACTGGACGAGGGGCACTACACTCGTAAGCGTAGTGTCCTGTCTTCTGACATCTGTTGCATCTCTGCAACTTCTTGTAGCCTGTAGAGCGAACCTTCTCGCTCTCTACATAACAGAGTTCCATCGGCTCTGGACCTCCGTTGTCATATCGTCTCGGTTGACGATATGATGTCGAGCTGGCGCGAGCCTGTCTCAGACTGAAGTCTTCCTGCTCCGCAATTGAAATGGCTTGTTCTAGTGAATCTAGTTCAAGCCGGAACAGGTGAGTCTTGACGGGACCATCCGCAAGACCCTGCATGAACACCGAAACCAACGTGTGTTCATCCACCGGATTGGAACTTATACAACTCGTGAGATGTCGTATATGTTGAGCGTAAGCGTGCACATCACGCTTACCCTGCTTGAGCTTCAAGAGTTCGGTTCGAGCTCTGAACTCAGCTCTAGGCGGTTCAAACGTTTGTCTGAGCCGCGACTTGAAGACTTCCAACGACCCAAACGCATATGGGTCGTGCAGCTTGAGCCCCAGTGCCCAAGTCTTGGCACGTCCTGCCAGATTTGACTGGGCAAATGCAACTTGCATATCCCCGTCGTCGATGCGACGCGCCCTTATGGCGTCATCCAATTCGACGAACCATCTCAAGAGGGAGTCTTCTTCGACCCCTCTATACTTTGAGATGTCAATCTTCAAAGTCTCGGGTCGACGCGAGTGCATCGACCCGCCAGCAGCAGCTTGCTGCTGTCTCAACAGTTCAAACTGTTGAGCACCTTGTTCTCTCAACAACTCTGCTTGTTGAGAAACTTGTTGGTGAAGCAAGGCTACTTGCTCGCGTTCAGCGTCAAGTTCATTTTGAATGAACTTGGCGATAGTAGCATGTTGGGCATCTCTATTGAGAGCCTCTAGCATGACGCTAACAGCATGGATGCCCATGGTCGAACCCATTCGTTCAACCGCATCCCATTCGACATCGCTCAAATGGGAGTAGCCGTCACGCGTAGCGTGAAAGCTTTGGTCATCTTTCATCATCCAACATATTCATGTTGGATGTGAACGCGGTCCTTGGACGGACTACGAAGTGCTACCAGGTGTAACGGGGCACCCTGAAGCTTGTACTGGTGACAGTACAAGCTACTTATTCTGATAACAGAATAAGGCGGTGCCTCGTAACTTCACGTACACTCGTACGTGCAGAGGAAGACGGTAAGAAGAAGCGAGTACTCGGTTAGAGTAAAAAGTAGAACTGTATTTATAATAGTTAATGTCTGCAATAAATCACTATTTATCTTCATCTAACTATGTCTAAATACAAATGTGTAAATCAGTTATCTGCTCACCACTCATTGCGTGCGTCTGTCGTGGCGCGTCTTCGTTGGTTGATATAATGGCCTATATCAACCAATTAGGAACTACTTGGAAGTGCTACAGAATATTGTCCTTATGACAATATTCTGAGAATATAACTCTTATAGTTATATTCTATTAACAATTTCTTATAAATTGTTATGTAACGATTCACCCCGTTACAGCTGCAGCCGACACACCAACCGCCACAGAACTCGCTTGACTAGCAGTGTAACCTCCAGTTCCATGTGCAGAGGGTACTTAAACGACATCATCGTCATGGCAAATACCAGTATCTGGTGACGTGGTGTCGGTCCCTGGGTCTCAGAACCTTGGGAGTGCGAGATACTTTTTCGGCAAGATTGACCAATTGCCGTGGTTGTTGTAAGCACCGCAGTCAGGGTCAACTTGCAACCCCTCACTCTTCTCAGAGATAATGGGAGCATCAGGTGGGCCCACGACCGAAGCCTGATGTGGATTTGCAATTATCGATGCAGCCACAGCGTATCGTGTGCGGAACATCGACCGCAACTGGCCTTTGGCCCTCAATTTGGCGAAGTCGTGTCGGACTTATCGCTTGATGCGTACGTCAGTCTTGTTGGCGCTGCTCTTTAAAGAAGTGCTTCTGCTTAAGCGCCGTGCTTTACGCATCCCGTGTAAAGACACATTGTCTTCCTCTGATGCCAACTCCCCTATGTCCAGGAGTATGGGGATACCCTAATCAGTGGACTTGGTACAACATGACGTTTGTAACGGGGCACCCTGAAGCTTGTACTGGTGACAGTACAAGCTACTTATTCTGATAACAGAATAAGGCGGTGCCTCGTAACTTCACGTACACTCGTACGTGCAGAGGAAGACGGTAAGAAGAAGCGAGTACTCGGTTAGAGTAAAAAGTAGAACTGTATTTATAATAGTTAATGTCTGCAATAAATCACTATTTATCTTCATCTAACTATGTCTAAATACAAATGTGTAAATCAGTTATCTGCTCACCACTCATTGCGTGCGTCTGTCGTGGCGCAGTCTTCGTTGGTTGATATAATGGCCTATATCAACCAATTAGGAACTACTTGAAGTGCTACAGAATATTGTCCTTATGACAATATTCTGAGAATATAACTCTTATAGTTATATTCTATTAACAATTTCTTATAAATTGTTATGTAACGATTCACCCCGTTACATCACCCCCTTAACCATCAGTCACTTTAGTGACTGATTGACTAATGGATACTCGTCCCAAATCATTTGGGACGGGGTTTGCACTTGTTGGTCCGCGTCCACTTTCCAACATCTCATCGCATGGTAAACAAGCCCATGCGATGCGCGAGCAAGGCCGCCGAGAGCGCGTCTGCACGTCTCTGTGCGGACGCCGAAGCAGAAAACCACAGCAACTGATGTCCCATCGGTTGCTGAAGAGACCCAGCCTGTGTCACTTGGTGACGCAGGCGCTGGTCATGAAGACACTCGTGTCTTCACAGAGTACGAGCTCGGTGTCTCGTACTCTCCTGATACGGATGACGGATCCGTATCGACGGCAATTGAATCCAAGCCGCCTGCCAAGCGTGGCATGGACGATGCTTTGCGTCGCAGCATCTTTGGTTCATCTGATGAGTCAGATGAACCATCGCCGAAGCGAAGGCGCTCGAGGTCGCGAGACTCGGGCGCTAATAGTGGTGTCGGTTCTCCAATGGACACCACTTCACAGCGAGGTGCCAGTACTTCTGTCGGCACGTCGCAGGAAGAGCGGGACCGCAATGTGTTGCGTCTCGCTCCAGAAAAGAAGGCATGGATGCCTCCAAAATTCGTCATGGATCACTTGTCGGCGACGACGAGTGATCGTTATCGAACACGATTGTTCGATTCGTCAAGGATCCATCACTTGACCCCAGCGCGAAAGACTATCGCGCTGAACATGAGTTCTTCATCGATGCTTTCTTCAGACATCGATGGTACAGTGGGAATCACAAACGTGATGGTCCCTCACTACTTCAGGCGTGGAACGCCTACATCCATAACCTCGAGGATGTAGGTCGTGACGCTTGGAACGACAAACTTATCAAAGCTCGTGATAAGTTTGAAAAGCGAACCCCGACAGGTGCACGCTACAAGCTGCATCGTCTGTCAAGGGAGAAAGGATTACCCTGCCTCTCTTGGGGAGACTCGTGCCCATGTTGTGTGAACAACTCTGCACGAGCACCTAAGGAGGCTTACCTCCTTACCAGCCCGTGGTGGCGCGTACGTGTCTCTACTGAGATGTACGAAGGGATTGACAACCTGAAATCCCTTTACGACCGTGCCGGGAAGACTTTCTCCGGCGGTCCTTCTGCGGCACAGGATGTGCCGCGTCGTACTGCCTCGACCAGACCCAGTACGTCAACCATCAATTGGGAGCGGGGCTCCCAAGAATCCCAGGACGGGGGATAGCCGCGCCACCGGACGAGGTAACTCGTCCGACGTCCGTTCACGTCGCGGTGGTTCAACAGCTGCTCAACTAGATAGCGCTGGCCACCGCGAGAGTCCTCTAATGGAGGTGGAGGAGGAGGAAAGACGCTCTCCACACGATCATGTGGATCGGTGTGTTCCCGAGAGCTTTTTGATCGCGTAACGCAAGGGTTACGCGACGATCTCGAGCATGAGCGGAATAGGCGTCTCCAGATGGTGGACACTGCCTCGAAGCATCGAGCTGAGTTTGCCTTTGCTCAGCTTGAGAACGAGAGATCTCTGACATCTTTCGTGACGAGCTAAGGGTAGCTCGTGGGATTGTTGATCGGTCTCGGGCTGAGATAACTGCTCTTCAGACCCTTGTTGATGCCCACCATCGGGAGCACAAGGCTCTCTGCGAGATGCTTGAGCGCAAGGGCGTTCTTCATCGGAAGAAGCAGCGTACTGATGGTACGGCTTAAGCCGACCAACGTAAAACGTGGGATGCGTTCGCATCTTACGTGGTAACTCGATCGTGTATGCATTGCCTAGGCGGTGCAATACACGAAATGGGCCAATGTACTTGGGTAGTAGTTTACTGCTACCCAAGTTAGTCACTACATGTTTTGGTAGATTAACCGTAGACAGTAGGACTAAGTCACCTTTATTAAATAAAAGAGTGTTTGCCCTTCCATTCTTGTCAGCGTTTTGCTTTTGCTTATCCACCGCTTCGGCGATGGAGTCTTGCACAAAACGGACTACCGTTTCACGAGCCAGTATGAACTCATCTGATGACTCGTTAGCTTCAGTGTGCTGTGAGCGCACTGCAGCAACAACAACCTTTCTTCAGTGAGGGCTTCCGCACTCTCACTGGCATCATTGTCTTCAGTGAGGGCTTCCGCACTCTCACTGGCATCATCTTCTTCGATATCGATGTTATCGATATCGGCATCAAACGCAATGACTTCCTCGTCAGAGCGTGATGAGCGTGAACCAAATCGGTTTTTGCTCGCGCGAGTCCCTCCCCCTTAAACCAGAGTTACACTCTAGTAAGGTGGGTACACGCGGATGGCGCAAGCCATTCACGTAAAACGGTGTATGTGTCGTGGACGCATGCACCGAGTTGTTGATGGCAAACTCTACCATCGGCAAAAACTCACTCCAACTCTTAAAGGAGTGTACGTATCCTCGAAGTATCTCTTCAAGGACACGATTGGCACGTTCCGTCTGACCATCTGACTCTGGATGATCAGATGTTGACATCTTCAAGCGCGTTCCGAGTGATTTGAACACGGAACGCCAGAAATCAGCAGTGAATCGTGGATCTCTGTCTGATACGAGTTCACGGGGCAACCCATGAAGTCGGAAGATGGTGTCAATAAAGACACAAGCACAGCCACTTGCCGTGATTGTCTCTGGTACAGCCACAAGGTGTACCATTTTGCTGAATCTGTCAACAAATACGAGAATACCTGTATTCCCGCGTGCGTCTTTGGGTAACCTGAAGACGAAATCCATTGAGATGGATTCCCAGCACTCAGCCGGAACCGGTAGAGGCTGTAAAGGTGCACGCAGTGAAGGACTTGACTTCACTCGTTGGCAGACTTCGCATGCGCGAACATACTTTCGCACAAACTGATACTGGCGGGGCCAGTAAAAGTCTCGACTTACCGTGAGATATGTTTTCTTCTCGGCCACGATGTCCTCCTATAGGAGCATCGTGATACTCGAACATGATCCGCAAACGCAGATCAGTATCATCTGGAATGACAACACGTGGTGTGTCACCAGAAACGGCTGTATAGTACAGTAAACCGTTACGAGTAGTGTATCGATCTGATGCAGATCGATACGCAGACGACAATCGTTTCAACGATTCTCGAGATGGTTGGGAGAGATGTGACAACAACTTCACTATCTCACCATCTTGGGCGTATGCCCGCCTCACATCATCATACAACGTTGTAGATGGAACTGAGGACGTCATAACCGCAACAGTGACTGTCTCACTGTTGGGTTTCGCGACTGTTTCAAAGTCGGGACGACGTGAGAGTGCATCAGCGACGACATTAAGTCGTCCTGGTTTGTACTCGACCGTAAAGTTGTATTCTGCAAAGAATGACAACCACCGCGCCATTCGTTGTGAAAGGTGCGGGCTGTTCACTGCCGTGCGTAAGGACGCATGGTCAGTGTAAACAACGAAGGGTCTATCTCCTAATAGATAGACTCTGAACTTCGCGAGTGCATACTTCATGGCAAGGAGTTCCTTGTCATGCACTGGATAGTTCCGCTCAGCTGGTTGCAGCTGACGCGACTGATAGCAGACGACGCGTTCAACGCCTTCAAGGTCGTACTGCATTAATGCACAGCCGATTGCGAAATCGCTGGCATCACAGACCACATGAAATGGCCTGTCCTGATCGGCTATTGCTAGGACTGGGGATTGTATCAAGCTCTGCTTGATACCCTCAAAGGAGCGTTGACATTCAGCGTTCCATAACCACCTCTCGTTCTTTTCAACAAACGAGAGAGGTGCACAGTCATCTCGGCGTAATTGCGTGAATACTTATGCAAATACGCCGCTAGCCCAAGGAATTTTCGAAGACCTTTGACATCGACCGGCACAGGCCAGTCGGTGATCGCCTTGATCTTTTCGGGATCAGGACGTACACCGTTCTTACCAACGATGCACCCAAGAAGTGGTATTTCGCTTGGCTGCAAATATACACTTCTTGAGGTTAGCATACAATTGATGCTTTCGCATGATTGTAAGAACTTGTCGGACGTGGTACCTGTGAACCTCAACGTCCGACTTTCCATCCATAGCTCGACTATGGATGAATACGTCATCGAAATAACTCGGCGCGAACTCGTATTGGTCTCAACAGATGTGATACACATCTGTTGAACGTGGCAGGGGCATTACTGAGCCCTTGTGGCATTACTAGCCATTCCCAGAGCATGCCGCTAGGCGTGCTAACTGCGGTATAGGGTATATCCTGTTCCCGCATTAGGATTTGATAGAAGCCATCCATCAAATCCATGGACGAAAAGATGGTACTCTTTGACATACCATCAATGATTACGTCCTTCCTCGGTATCGGCGTCTGAGCCGGTACCGTTGCAGCGTTCAATTTGTTGAACGCGTGCACTATCCGCCACCCTCCTGTTGCTTTTCGCACACAGAAGGTCGGAGAGCTATGTGGGGAAGTTGATTCCCTCACATGGCCTCGCTGCTAAACGATCGGCAAAGAACTTGTCGATCGCAAGTACTTGTTCACGAGGCAGTGGCCACTGCTTCATGACACAGTACTTCGAGCCTGGTTTAAGCTCGACTTCGTGTCGAATACCTTTATCCTTCGGTAATTCGCACGGAACAGTTTCAGGGAATACATCCTTGAATTCAACCAAATCCTCATAGAGAGGGTTTTCCTTGAGCGATTCCCATGATTGGGACTCATATCGCTCAATTCGTGTCTTTTCATCTAGGACACTCTCGTCCATAGATGAACTACTGAGAACTCTCTCGTTCTCAGTAAACACTGTTGCTGACCTTATGTCGGTTACATACTCGTCGTCAGCGACGAGTATGCAGATCTGCTTGACTTTGCCACTACGCAGATCACGCAAGAACCTTTTATGTTCGAGCGTTGGCAACTGAGTGATCTCCGAAGTTAACTTCGGAGGCGCAATCAGATCAAGTGTATAAGCGCCTACACATGATCCGTTATTGACTATGACATTCAATGTCTCTGTCATTTCCTGGGGACTTATTCCCTCAGGCTTCGAAGGACTTATTCCTTCGTCTTCCCGGGGACTTATTCCCGCGGGTTTCGGGGAACTTATTTCCGCCGTATTTGTAATCTTGGGACTTATTCCCTTTACTTCCTCTAGCTGGGGTTGCGCAACCACAGCGAGATCCTCTACGAAAGACTCTCCAGTCGATCTAGGATTATCGTTTCGCTTAACCTGAGCGATCGATTGTTTCTCTTCTAGATGTTCCCCTCTAGGGATACATCTTTGTCCCAGTCCACCCGACTTATTCGAGTGGTGGACCTTCGGCGCAGCCTGTGTTTCCTCACAGCCGCCGGAACTTTGCTCCGAAGTGTAACCGTTTGGTACACTAAGGTTTTGTGCAGTCGTACTAACGACCGTACCACAAGTGAGGCCATCGCACTCACTCGTAGTACATCCACACGCTTGTGGACGCCTAAAACGTTCATCAGATGGCCATCTGATGAACAAGCGGCAGGCATCGTTACTGTCCGATGTTGCCAGTTTACCCGTGGTTCGTACCTTCTGAGCCACGGTATTCCAAGGATGACATCAAATTTGTCATCCAAATCCAATACGATAAAGTCATCGTCGTATTGGGTATCTTCTAGCGTATAGTGAATCTTCACTATACGCTTCATGACGGTTACGGATGCGCCTGTCGCAAGACGTACCGTCATCCTCGTAGGAGGTGTGTCACATTCACTGAATTTAAAGTGACCATCTTCTAGCGATTGGCGTCGCACAAAAATTGTTGGACGCCCCACAATCGACTAGAGCTCGAAGGGACAACTTATTCGTCACTTCGAGTTTCAAGGTAATGAGTGAGATCTCATTACCTAGAGCAGCAACGCACAATGTCTGTGTGTTGGGAGCAACCTTCATCAAGAGGCCTACAAATTCTCTTGACGTTGCTGGATCAGTAGGGTGCTCCGCACCTACTGATCCTGTCCGTTTTTTGACGGTCCATCCCGTTGTTGCGTCTTTGCACCAACTGCGGACCCTCGTCCCTGCCCCTTTCTCATGGGTGGACGGTCACTACGCCCAGTGTCGCGAGACACTGGACGAGGGGCACTACACTCGTAAGCGTAGTGTCCTGTCTTCTGACATCTGTTGCATCTCTGCAACTTCTTGTAGCCTGTAGAGCGAACCTTCTCGCTCTCTACATAACAGAGTTCCATCGGCTCTGGACTCCGTTGTCATATCGTCTCGGTTGACGATATGATGTCGAGCTGGCGCGAGCCTGTCTCAGACTGAAGTCTTCCTGCTCCGCAATTGAAATGGCTTGTTCTAGTGAATCTAGTTCAAGCCGGAACAGGTGAGTCTTGACGGGACCATCCGCAAGACCCTGCATGAACACCGAAACCAACGTGTGTTCATCCACCGGATTGGAACTTATACAACTCGTGAGATGTCGTATATGTTGAGCGTAAGCGTGCACATCACGCTTACCCTGCTTGAGCTTCAAGAGTTCGGTTCGAGCTCTGAACTCAGCTCTAGGCGGTTCAAACGTTTGTCTGAGCCGCGACTTGAAGACTTCCAACGACCCAAACGCATATGGGTCGTGCAGCTTGAGCCCCAGTGCCCAAGTCTTGGCACGTCCTGCCAGATTTGACTGGGCAAATGCAACTTGCATATCCCCGTCGTCGATGCGACGCGCCCTTATGGCGTCATCCACCCGACGAACCATCTCAAGAGGGAGTCTTCTTCGACCCCTCTATACTTTGAGATGTCAATCTTCA